GGGGATAGCAGCTCTTGAACTTTGCCGACTGGAATGTGTTCTGCCTCTGGTGAGCTTTGCTGAGTCCTTACTTTAAAGGCTGACATGGTAAAAACAGTCTTTGCAGTATAGCTGAGTAAGAGGAACGGGGTGAGTGCGGCTGTTATCTGCCTGTTCCAAGTTCACTATCATGTAGGCTTCTTCCCCTTCCAAGGGTCAGTTTGTGCTTTCTGGACTGAGACTTTCTAATCTCTCACTGTGGGGCACATGCTGCAGGGTCCTGCCGAGACTGGAAGCTTGGGCGAATCGTTGTCAGTGGCTTATTGCCAGAGTGTTATAGCACGGTGTGTGTGTGTGGGGGGGATGCGGCCGCGGGGCCCCGACTCGGTGGCACTGGGCGGGCGTTAGCATGCACGACCATGACGGCAGTGCCTTTGGCCTGGGCGGGGCGTGCAGCTTTCTCAGTCCCATGGTTGGTGGTGGTGAGACATTCGTAAGTGACGGTCCAGGACAGTCCCGAGTTGGATTTCGTGCTCCGAGGCCAGAAATGTGACACTTAGGCCCATCGCCTTGGGGCAGCAGTCACAAGGTTGGTGTCCTTGGGGTCCTCATTCCAGAACACATGCAGATGGTCGGAGCGTCTGGAGCGCGCAGGTGGCAAGTTTGAGAAGAGGAGGTCTCCCTTGCAGTGGAGCCCCATGCCTTCCTGAGTCTACTCACGGGAAGTGTGCAAACTCATGCCCAGTAGCTGCTTCGCTTTGAAGAGCGTCAGCTGCGTGGTCCTAGGGCAGTGTGGGCCGTGCTTTCGAGAACTATTTGGTCACCGTGTGTCGTGGCCTCTTACTTTCCTGAAAACCGAGCTCTCCAGCGTAGTCTGGCTGCAAACAAGGGTTGCTGCTGCCCGCTGCGCCGCCAGGTGTGTTTTGGGGACGACTTCAGTTCTGTCTGCGGGAGCTCAGTCGTCCTGCCGTCACACTGTACCAGGCCGCGCACTTGACACCGGTTCAGCGTGTGAGTGTGCTTCGGTGCCACTGCGTCACGGGCACATGTGTATGAATGCCACACTCCAGCGCCACAAAGACCTCTGTGGTGCCACCCCTGGACAGCCCTGTGGCCCCTCGTTCCTACCATCCCCAGTGCTTGATGACCACTAACTTGTTCTCCATTTCTATAATTTTGTGAGTCCGTTATATAAACGGACTCATAGAATATGCGGCCTTTGAAGGTTGACTTTTTCCACGCCTCAGAGCGCTTTCAAGACCCATCCCAAGCTGTTGTGTGTGTTAATAGTTTGCTCCTTGCCGCCGAGAAGTGTTTCGCGGTCCGGATGCACCACAGCCACCTGCTGCGGGGACCAGCGGCTCCACAGCCGTGCCTGGGTGTCCAAGCTGCCACTCTTCAGGATAAAGGTGTGCTGACCCTCCACATCCACATTTTGTGTGACCATTTCTCTCCAGGTGCTGTTGCTGGGCTTTAAGTTAGCTGTTGTTGTTGTTTGTTTCCAAGAGTCTATCGACTTATTTGCCAGAGAGAGCAAGAGCGCACGCTCAAGCAGGGGGAGGGGAGCGGAGCGGCAGAGACCAGCGGGCCCCTGGAGGAGCGCGGCCTCCTTCTCTGCCTCTGCCTCTCTGTCATGAGTAACTAAAATCCTTAGGAAGAAGGGAAGAACGAACGAACGGACCTAACTCTTCCCACGTGGCCGTGCCATTTCCCATTCCCTCCAGGAAGCCCAAGAGAGTCATTTCTGCACATCCTCACATGCATTTAGGGTTGTCGCTGGTTTTATCTTCGCTGTCATGATGCGCGCGTGGTGGGACCTCACTGGGCATATAGTTTGCATTTCCTTCCTTGTTGTCTTCAATGAGATACCTGTTCCTGTCTTCTGCCCATTTAAAAAAAGACTTATTTATTCATTAGACAGAGAGTGCGTGTATGGAGAAGGGCAGAAGGAGAGAATCCCAAACAGGCTCCACCTCCCGTGCGGAGCCCTGTGTGCACTGATCCCAGGACCCTGAGATCGTGACCTGAGCTGAAATTAACCTGATGTCCAACCCACTGAGCCAGCCCAGGCTTCCGGTCTTTTGCCCATTTTTTAATTAGATGGGTTTTATTTTTTAATTAATTATTAATTTATTTTTAATATTTAATTTATATTTGTATTATATTTTATTTATATATTTATATTTTATATTTTATAAATTTATTTTATTTTATTTTACTTTATTTTATTTATTTGAGAGAGACAGAGATAGAGAGAGAGCATGAGCGGGAAGGAGGGGCAGAAGCAGACTTTCCGCCAAGCAGGGAGCCCGATGAGGCACTCGATCCCAGGAGCTGAGCTGAAGGCAGACACTTAACCCACTGAGTCACTCAGGCGCCCCAGGATTTTATTTATGTATTTGTTGGAGAGAAAGAGAGAGAGAGTACAAGCAGGGACAGAAGCAGAGGGAGAAGCAGACTCCCCGTGAAGCAGGGAGCCCGATGCGGGACTCCATCCCAAGACCCCGGGATCATGACCTGAGCTGCGCCTTGCACTTCTGGCCGAGGACACATGAATCAGTGTCCACTGGCCTGGCCCTTTTTCCTGCCTTGAAAGCGGGGAGCCAAGGGCCTGACGGGCAGCATTTGGGGAGCTCTTTTCACCTCGGGCTTCATCTCTTCCATTTCCTGCACAGGGACTCCTGAGCCCCAGGCCGCTGTGCTCTGCTGATGGCAGAGTCCTCCAAGGCTGGTCCTTCCGGGAGCAGGTTCCTGGCTTTGCTGTCTTGACTCTGTGAAATCTCTCATCCCTAATGCCTTCCTCGTGTTTTCTTTTTGTATGGGTTTGTGTTTCCCTCCCCCCTTTCCCCCTTTCTTTCATTAACACAGGCTGCCAACTTGAACCTGGATCACAATTACTTAGGACGCATTTTATCTTGCCTGAGCAGAAAGCACTGTGCTTTGTAGCGCTTTGGAGAATATAGGTTTTCATTTGCCCGTAGAGAAATTAATTAAAAATGAAGGGATGCATGACATTTTGAACGCTGCCCATTTTCTACAGCCGTGGTTAAGGGTGACCTGTTACTCTCCTTGTTTTGCAGATGGGGAACCCAAAGCACAGAGAGGTCAAGAAACTTGCCCAGAGTTAGCCAGGTGTAGTGGATAGTCAGTGGCTCAAACCCAGCGTGCGTATAGCACCGTGCAGAGGTTCGCTGCGTGGTGTGCACGTGCAGATGCAGTGGTTACCGTGTCCCTAGAGCATTTCCTGTACTCCCAGGTGCCCCACGTCTGCTAAATACAATACAGTTCTATTTTCATAGCAAATTCTGCAGGATTCATGTGACATATGTGTCATGTGAGTTTTTTTAAGCTTTAGTTGCTACACAAGGCCCTTTCTGCACACTTCCCTCTTTTGAGGCCAACCAATAACTAACACTCCTTCAAACCTCACAGCTTATCTGAGTTTCTGATGACCTCTTAGAAAGGATGCAGTCAGTTAAAATTGAAATATCATTTTGTAGTACTTCATAAGGCGCACCCCCATCTTACGAGATGCACGTCTGTCTACAGGCCTCTACCCTCTGCTCTTCCAGTGCTTTCCCCCTCTAGGCCCTTGGCTACTAGATTCACTCATTCAGTTACTTCTAGTTCTAGGTAGACACACTCACACCTGGGGATATTCTCCCGGCCCCTTCCTCACCACTTGCTGCATCCCTAGTTGGAAGATCTTCCTTCCCCGTTGTTTCTGAGGCCCCCACCCCAGGTGTGGCTGGAGTTTAGTTGCCATCCATTTTGAGCTTGTATGCAGATACTGAACTTGCCCTTCCATAAACCAAGCTCGGGCCTGTTCTGCCTCCTCTGGTTGGCCATATTGTTTGTGACTTACTGTTTTACCTGCAGTGCGTGGTGGACGCATTCAGAGATTTCCACTTGACCTTCCCCACTGTGCTAGCTCTTACCACGAGCTCTGAGCTACTTCCACATTAATGGACTAGAAACAGGAAGAACCAGCAAAGGAGACAGAGACAACATCACTTCCGTGGGATTCCTACCAAAAATGTACAACCTCAACCTAATTGTGAGAAAACATGGGACAAACCCAAGTTGAGAATCTACAAAACAGCAGGCCTGTCCTCTTAAAAATGTCAAGGTCATGAAAGACAAAGAAAGGCTGAGGAGATTTTCCAGATTAAGGGGAGCTAAAGAGATGTGAAAACTGAATGCATTGCATGATCCTGGATGCTGGTCTGGGAAAGAATATATATATATAGCTAGAAAGGACGTTGTTGGGATACTTGATAAAATGTGTAGAGAAACTGGGGACCAGATATAGTATTGTATCAATGCTAAATTTGTGGGGCCCATGGGTGGCTCAGTCGGTTGGGCGTCTGTCTTCAGCTCAGGTTGTGATCCCAGGGTCCTGGGTTGGAGTCCTGAATCTAGCTCCCTGCTTGGTGGGGAGTCTGCTTCTCCCTCTCCCTCCGCCTGCCACTGTGCCTGCTTGTGCTCTCTCTCTATCTCTGTCACATAAATAAAGAGAATCTTCAAAAAAATGCTAAATTTTCATTTTTGAGAAACTTTTTGTTCTTAGAAAACACACGGAAGCATTTATGGGTTAAGGAGCATGATGTCTTCAGATTATGTTCAAATGGTTCCAATTATTAAATTTCATAGTATTTTCTTCTACAACGTAGTGCTGTGATGACATCCGTGTCCACATCTTTTGGTGCACATGGCACGCGGCCATGCATGTCTGTGGAAGGTTGGGAGAAAAGGGTCACGGTGGAGAGGTCATCTTGGGCTAGGGTCGGGGTTCAGTGGTTCATCATCCTGGGCCAGGGGCTGATCCTACATGCCTAATTCTCTTCCCGTTTGTAGCGAACTGGATAGACACGTTGGATGATAACATTTATAAGTAGCTCCCATCGGTTTAGATGCCAAACTTGTGAAATAAGCGTTGGTTTTCTGAGCCTTCTAGATTGTAGACTGATAGCAGGCCTCTGCTCTCCCTTACCCATTGCTTTGTTGTTCGGACCTGCCAGGCTGTGGCGCACCAGGCAAATGCAGTGACCGAGGACATGTACACCAATGGCTCCGCTGCCCCAGGTAGCCCGACCCAGGCCAAAGGGCAGGAGGTACGGAAGGTGCGACTCATACAGTTCGAGAAGGTCACGGAAGAGCCCATGGTAATCCCTTGTCATGCCCTACCGCCCCGCTTCTTCACACGCCTGAGTCCCCCCGTCCCCGGGCTCCCAGCCCTCCCCCAGCGCTCTCCTCCTGGCAGCTCTCATGCCTCTTCCCATCGTGAACCCCAAGTACCCATAAAAAGTCTTTCTCCGAAGAAACCCCTTCAGCCATCCTGAAGATAACCCGAGAAGGAGCTGAAAATAACACGTGCCGCGCTTTGTCCTCACCGCAGGGCATCACGCTGAAGCTGAACGAGAAGCAGTCATGCACGGTGGCGCGGATCCTTCACGGCGGTATGATCCACAGACAAGGTATCCGGGGCTCCAGAGCTGTGCCTTCCCTGATGGCCCCATTGAGTGGCGTGGGACATGAGGGTCGCCCTCGTGACTGGGGCATCTCCATGTGCTGGGGGTCAGGCCCGCCGGGGTCCGTGGCCAAGGTCTGAGCGGTGACAGCACAGCTGCCACACCAGCCCAGACGCGCGACCAGGAACCGGACCATCTCGGCTTCCTGGTGCTAATGGTTGAAGGGAAGATACACATTAAACAAAGCATTACAAGTACCGGTTGTCTGTCCTTCACATGAAGGGGCCGTCGGTTTTCCGATGCATCGTTTGGTAAAAGCTCTGTGTGGCCGGGCGGGGGGAAATGTGTCTCAGTGGCCGCGGTCGTCGCTGCTTGCCGCCCGACTCGTGCCGGTCTCTGAGCCCTGCCCTCTTCAGTCCGGACTTTGTTTTCCACCCAGGGCAACGCAGATACTGGTAACTGCTCCACACACAAGACTCTAACCTTTGGTTAACGTGACCATCAGGTGGCAGTTCTGGGTTTTAGCTATATGACAAAGAAACATGACACTTGCCAAGGACGTGGTTCTTTTGTTCTGCTTGGTCCATGAAACTGTCAAGTGCTTGCCTTGGCATATCCCTCAGGGGCTCAGAAGAGCCACCCCTCCTCCTGCGGTCGTGTAACGTGCTCTGGGTCGTGCCCGCTTCCCTGTGGTATCTTGTCGTGCTCTTTTTGGACAGAGTCTTCATTCCGTGCAGGCTCCCTTCATGTCGGGGATGAGATCCTGGAGATCAATGGCACCAATGTGACTAACCACTCAGTCGATCAGCTACAGAAGGCGATGGTGGGTATTTTCTGTGCCTTTATGTTTGTGAGGTGTGGATACATGTTGGTGTCAGTGGGCAGTGTTATCCCATCAAGTCTTTGTACCTCACCGAGGGGACTCTTCCCACCGCTAATCTCTATTCTGTGCAGGAAATGACCGTTCTCTACTTTAATCTAGTACATTTCTAAAACAAGGCGAATGGCCCAGAGTATCTCCCTAGGAAGGACAGTGGACTGGGTGTCAGAAAGCATTGGTCTTTATTGGCAGCTCTGAAACCCGGCCGTCCTTGGGTCTAACCTTACAAACAGGTGAACTCATTTCTCTAAGTCATCTGCAAACCGCAGGTAGAAGTCCCTCTGCACAGATCGGTTATGGAGAGTGGATGGGAGATTATAAATGCAAAGGTGAGGGGTGTCTGGCTGGCTCAGTCAGAAGAACCATGACTCATGATCTCAGGGTTGTGAGTTCGAGCCCCACGCTGAGCGAAAGCTTACTTCAGAGAACCGAAGCAGACCCCACCTGGGGTGGTCGGGTGTGGTTGGCCACTGCCTGAGGGAGCCACCTGTCAGACACTCAGCAGTGACCAGGGCTGTTGAACCAGAGAGCTGGGATCTGCTCTCATGAAAAGGCCTCATGCAGCACCTGGCCGGCTCCGTGGGAGGAGTGGGTGACTCGATCTTGGGCTAGGGAGTCCGAGCCCCACATTGGGTGCACAGTCTACCTAAAAGAACAACAGACAACAACGACAACTAAATGAGGTGACACGGGCCACATTTACCTTTAGAAACAACCCAAGTCCTGTACATCATGTACCCAAGAACAGAGCCTTGAAAGACTTGAGGCAAAAACTGCTAAAACCGCAGGGAGGAAAAAAAGAAATCCCCAATTCTCATCCAGGGTTTCAGTATCTCTTCCTCACTGATCAGAGGAAGCAACCCGAGTTTGTTTTGAATCTGATGCAAGCACACGGTATCAAAGCCTTTGCCCGCAGCCTCATGGGCTGATGAGAAGCTCATTGCCAGGGCACTGGGGGGCTCAGGTCATGATCCCAGGGGCTCGAGCTGCCTGCTCGGTGGGGCGTCTGCTTCTCCCTCTCCTGCTCCCCCTGCTTGTGTGCTCTTGCTGTCTCTCACATAAATAAAATCTTAAAAAAATCCTAAAAAAAAAAAAATCCTGAACATCCATGTGCCGAATGACAGAGCTTCAAATAAATAAATAATTAAAATCTTTAAAAAAAAGATGTCTGTTGCAGCAGATAGTGAAAAAAAGCTGACCACCACCAACATGCCCAGTAACGGGGAGTATAGCTGAACGGACAGCGTGTTACAGAATACCATACAGAGTATAATCCCATTTCTGTTAAAAGCAGCCAAGAATACATACATATGAGTATGGACCTATGTACAAACGCTTGCAAATGTTTTCTTTGGCGTGGAGAAAGGTATGGGTATATGTAGGCCAGATTCATTTCAGTTTGTCTGGAAACCTGTTAGGGTTGAGTGTGGGGAGGAGGGAAAAGTCATTCACTTTTTCTTCATTATTCTTTGTGCATCTCCAAGTTGTCCCATTGGCTTATGGGGGCACATGAGACTTTGATATTGGAGAAGGAATTGTCCTACAAAGTTTCAAAGTGTACGGTAAAGATGGGTGTTGGAAAAAAAAAAAACAGTTTTTGGGAATTTTCAGGGTGAAAATAAGAGTTTAGGAAACCCCAGATCATCTATTATATATCCATTATAATTTTATTTCTCCTTTCTCAATAGAAAGAAACCAAAGGAATGATCTCATTAAAAGTAATTCCCAACCAGCAAAGTCGTCTTCCAGCACTGCAGGTAGGTGACGCCATTTATTGAGATTTGACTGAAATGACATGATTCTCATTTTAAGTTCTCAGTATAGCATGAGTGTAGCTGCCTGGGCCTCTCTGAACGCAGGTGCAAACAGGCAGACCTTCCTTCCGTAAGGAGTAACTGATGTGAAAGGAAGGAGGGAAATGGGCAAAGCAAATGAAGACATGATAATTCACAGGAGGAAAAATACAAATGGACATCAAACGTATGAAAAAATGGCCAGTTTTACCAGTCAGCAGAGAGACACAAAATGTGTGCGGTATCATTTTGCACCAAGCAAATTGGCAGATATTTTTTAAGATTTTATTTATTAGAGAGAGAGCATGAGTTGGGAGGGAGCAGAGGGAGAAGCAGACTCCCCGCTAGGCAGGGAGCATGATGCAGGGCTCGATCTCAGGACCCCGAGATCATGACCTGGGATGAAGGCAGACATTTCACCGACTGAGCCACCCATGTGCCCCACAAACTGGCAAATATTTTTTAAAACAGTAATAAATAGCCCAGGCAGTGATAGTGCCAGAGGAAACAAAGAGTTTTAAGAGCACTTACTCAAAATTCGTGGAGACTCTACCTCGTACACATCGTACACACCGTTGGCAAAGGAATGTGTGTGAAAGTGTCCAGTGCAGGTCATTTATGTTATTGTGGCAAAGTTTTCTCTTTGAACAAACTTTTAAAACTGAAGTTTGGGTATACGTGGGTGTGTGTATAAAACAAGAGTGACTTTCACTTGGCCAGAGATGGGACATGGCTAGGCACCCCTGTATCCTGACTTCTCACGTCGAAAACAGCTGTCGCCCCTTGGGGCGTGCATGTAAAGGAAATCAGTCCTCACTGTGGCCGCTCTGTGCTGTTGCATAGGCGACTCCTTTTTGTTCATTTGCCCCAGATCCCCGCCAGTACTTTTTCCTCACTTTGGCCGTTGTGGCTTTAATCTGCATTTCTCTGGTGACTCATTACAGTCAGCTCCTTGTTTTATGTTTTTCTCCGTTTGCATGCCCTCCTTTGTGAAGTAGCCATTCAAGGCATTTTCTTACTGATTTGTAGGCACTTTCTATGTATTCTGGCTAAGAATCTCGCCCTGTGTCTGTCTGAGACCAGCCTTAGTTCTTAGTTACATTCGGAGACATTTGCCATCAGAGCCAGGGGGGCCTGTGTGTTTGGGAGGAGGGGAGGGTTAGGGGAGGACGGTGTTCCGTAATGGCTCTCAGTGCTTTCCTGTGGAGATACGTATTTTCAGTTTCTTGTGTCGTTTTTGGGAAATTGTGTTTCGTAAAGGATTTGTCAAGTGTATTCATGTGAAGTTGCTCATGATATCTCCTTGGAGCCTTTTAAACATCTCTAGGATGTCTACCTATCTTTTACACAGTGATTTTTGTAGTTGGCCTGGTAATATCATCAGTAGATGACTGTACTTAGGTAAGTCCTCATTCTTGGAAAATTAGCTTGACTCCCATATTGCAGTCTTGTAAATAACGCTGTAGTGAACATACTTTTCCATACATTGTAACTGACAACTTGTGCGTAGAAGGGCATTGTGCAGACAAAGGGTATCCATATTTTAAGACCTTTGACACATTCATAATTGTTTATTTAACGTACCATGAAAGGATTTCCCAAGGAAACATGCATTTCCGATAGTAGCTGCTTTGTCCTTACTTTTCAGATGTTCATGAGAGCCCAGTTTGACTATGACCCCAAAAAGGACCATCTGATCCCTTGCAAGGAGGCGGGACTGAAGTTTGTTACTGGGGACATCATCAAGATAATCAACAAAGATGACAGTAACTGGTGGCAGGGGCGGGTGGAAGGTTCTTCCAAGGAATCCGCAGGATTGATCCCTTCTCCCGAGCTGCAGGAATGGTGAGCCACTTTTGTAAGAGTGAAGTGGGCCAGTGCGGGGAACCCAGGCTCGCCACACGCGGTCGCCTAGCTGCACTACTCTGTTTCTCGGCTGAGCCAGCCTCCAGCTGTCACGGCTGCGGGGACTGCAGCAAGCCTATGGGTACAGGTAAAGGACCCTGAATTCCGGTTGATCTCATCTCTGGAGGTGACCCTGTGGAGTCATCCAAACCATAGCCCATGTCCTACAGAAGTAAACTCTTCCAATTAGAGGAACAAAGGAAGGGCATCCGGCTGGCCCAGTTGCTAGAGCGTGTGGCTCCTGTTCTCGGGGTTGTGAGTTCGAGCCCCACATTGAGGGTGGAGAGGATCTAGAAATAAACTCTTAAATTTGGAATTAGAGCAAAAATGAAATATAGCACCAGCCTTGCGTGCTCATGGTGACAGACCCAGTTAGGTTGGCTGTGGCTTCTGGGCCATTTTCAGAGGCAACACGTGTGAAGAACACCACAGGCAGGAGGCTGTGAGGCACTTCGCAGACATTCTCTGCAGCTCCCACAGTGGCTCTGCAGACACGCCTCCCATGCCTTTCTGGAGAGTTCATCCAAACAGCTGGCGTTGGAAATGCGTCCAGGATGAAGTGACCCCCCTCCTGCCACCACATCCTTTTCAGTGCAGCCCGACCATTGAGCTGGGCTCCTCCATGCTAGTCTAAACCATGCTCATCGCAGACGCAGAGCCTTCTACTCCCAGGGAACTGGTGAGGGTGGGAGGGGAGCGGGAGAGAGCGCAGCAGAGACACCGAGAGCAGGAGACTGGGGGGGGCATATGAGAGAGACATAGAGACTGGAGAGAGGACGAGAGCTCCACACAGAGGCTGAGAAACAGACACAGAGAGACAGCGGGGAGGAGAGAGGGACAGGCTGAGAGCCAGGAGGGGCCCCTCACAGTGGGAGGGACAGGATAAGACACACGCCGAGGGCTGTAAGAGATGGGAGGGTCAAGGACAGCACCGAGGTTTTGGCAGATTGGTCTGGAGGTCATTCAGTTTGCAAGATTTTATTATTAAGTGATCTCGCCGCCTAACCTGGGGCTCGAACTCCCGGAGCTGACATCTGGGCCCGCGGACGTCCCTGGTCCGGAGGGTTTGGGCGCAGGTTGGCGGCCTGGGCTTTTGCACTGAGGCTCCCTTGACATTCTGGGTCATCTTGTCCTGCCAGGCGGGTAGCAAGTGTGGCTCAGTCCGCGCCCAGCGAAGCCCCCAGCTGCAGCCCGTTTGGGAAGAAGAAGAAGTACAAAGACAAGTATCTGGCCAAGCACAGCTCAAGTAAGCTTCCCAGGTGTCCCCTCTGCTGCACGGCGGTTCGGGGGACGGTGTCGCACGAGGGGGACCATCGCCATGGAGAGCAGGCCATGTCCTCTGCTTTCCTCTCATGACAACATTCGTCTTCCCAGTATGCGGGAAGGAAAGCTACTGGTCCGCTCCCAGCCGTGCACTGTCCTCACTCCTCAGGTAGCCAGCCGAACAGCCTTCCAGAACTTTCTCAGTGTGTCCATGCCATCATCACGACCAGCTCATGGTCTGAGCAGCCCCAGAAAAAGGCATGTTTTCCCGAGAACTAATAGTGATTTTGTTTTTTTACCTACCGTGGTAGGTAATAGAAATACACAGCAACTGTAAACGGCTTCAGCCAGTCGAGTACTCGGCTGCCGTCCAGCTCCCACCCCAGCTGTCGGATTTCCTTGCGCAGCTGTGTCCACTGGGCAGGTCGGGGACACAGAGGCTGGCTCCGGAGGGTTTGAGGGGTGAGCGTCCGAGGAATCCCTGGATGGTCGTGCGCGGCTGCGGGACATGGAAAGAGCCGGGGGAAGAGCATGTGTGCTCGGCCGGCCCGGCCGCCGTCTTGTCCCTGCCAACGGCGGCCGCACGGCAGTGTCCCAGCTGTCCCCTCCGTCCCCCGGCTAGCTTACATAAAGACAGCGGGGGGGCACTTAAGGCTCTTGCTGCTGCTTCCGTCCCCGCCCCAGTAGCTGTCGCCTACCAGAGGTCGCCTTCTGACACCGAGATACAGTCAGGTCACCGCGAGTCCAGGCACACGTGCCCCTGTCATGGCCTTCCCAGCTGTGCCCGGGCACATCGCTCGACCTTCTTTGTCCGCAGTTTTTGACCAGCTGGATGTTGTTTCCTATGAGGAGGTTGTCCGGCTCCCTGCATTCAAGAGGAAGACCCTGGTGCTGATTGGTAACTTCTCTGGCTGTCGCGTGGCTGGTTTGGGTCCGTCTGTCCGTTCTCCCGCCTGTGCTGTGTGATGCCCCCGCCCGCCCACCAGGAAGGCAGGGAAGATGCAAAGGGGGAAAGGGGGTCCAGTCTCGGGGGCTGCGAGTCCTCACACCTGTGCCTTCGGGATTTAGCCTCCCAAGTGGTGGGGCAGCTAAGTAGTTGCGGTGGGTTTAACCCCCATCCTGGCTTGCAACATTTGTTGCTTTGAGGAACTCCGTTATAGCTCCGGAGAAATTCCCGGGAAAAACGCTCCTTTAAATTCAGTTCCACTGGGATGTCTGGGAGGCTCAGTCGGTGCAGTGTCTGCCTTCAGCTCAGGTCATGGTCCCAGGGTCCTGGGATTGAGTCCCGAATCGGGTTCCCCATTCAGTGGGGAGCCTGCTTCTCCCTCTGCCTGCTGCTCCCCCCGCTTGCGCTTTCTCTCTCTCTCTCTCTCTCTCTGTCAAATAAATGAAATCTTCCCAAAAAATCAGTTCCACTAATTTCAGAGAGTTCAGTAAAGCAAGTATCTTGAGAAAAGAGACAGAAAGTCCCATGTGTTAGCTGCTGCTCTGGAAACAACAGTTACGTTCTGAGTCCTGATCCTCGGCCCTTAGAGCCTCCTCTCCCAACTGGGACAAAGGGCTTGGAGCCCCAGACCCTGCTGGCCCCTCCGTGACCTCAGTCTGGAAGCCGCACCAGCTCACTGTCACCCACGTCCCATTTCGAAGCCTGTCCCTGCCTTTGTCTCTGGGGAAAGAAATGGAAGCCTTGATGACAACAGTAGCCTGGTTCCCATCTTCAAGCCTTTCTTCTCTCTGTCCACAGGAGCCAGTGGCGTCGGCCGCAGCCACATTAAGAATGCCCTGCTCAGCCAGAACCCGGACAAGTTCGCGTACCCTGCCCCATGTGAGTACCTCTGGGGTCCTCCGAGTGCCCTTATCTGTGTGTGACTTTATCGTACATGTTTGATGATAAAAACAGAACACAGTTGGGAAGGATGCAAGTGTGTGTATGTAACTGCTTTGTTGCTGTTCTCTGTGCTGTTCGCCTTCTTCTTCTGGTGAAGATGCTCTCGTCCTGCTCTCGTCCTGGGCTGCCTGGCTGGCTCGGTTGGTGGCACGTATAGCTCTGGAATCTCTGGGTTGCAGGTTCAAGACCTTTGTTGGGTGCAGACATTCCTTACGGATACAATCGTTAAAAAGTTCTTACTTTGTTCATGTTACTTTATATTACCAACATTTTCTCATTGCCTAAATCCTAGTCCTTTGAGTGGCTGTAGCTATCCACCACTGCTTGACGTCTAGGCTGCTTCTGATTTTCCAGAAATGTCTTCTGAATCACAGCAGCGCTCAGGAAAGGCACAGTCTGGGCAGTCGTCCTCAGTAGAACAATCAGGCCAGTGGTCAGGTGGGGAATCAGAGGCCTTGCATTCCCAGAATCTGCATAGTCTGATTGTGCTTATCAGAGTAGGAAACTGGATTCTGTGTTTGTTTGTTTTTAAGATTTTATATATTTATTTCAGAGAGAGTGTGTGTGAGAGAGAGAGAGAGATCACGAACAGGGGGAAGGGGTAGAGAGAGAAGCCGACTCCCAGCTGAGCAGGGAGCCCGATGTGGGGCTCAAACCCAGGCCCCTGGGATCATGACCTGAGCCAAAGGCAGACACTTAACCCACTGAGCCACGCAGGCTGAAAACTGAATTCCGAATCTGCTATTAGTATTTTTTTTACTCCTTGCTTCTGTATTTTGTCTTTAGGGATAAGTGACACGCCAGGGGCAGAAAGCAGATGGCCCTGGGTTGAGGAATGAGTGGGAAAGTTTGAAAGTAGAAATAGCCAATAAAGAAGAGTTGTTGTTTTAGAAGATGGTAAGAGAGAGGCCTGAGCACTTGTGGATTGAGAGACAAGCAGAGGATGTGCGAGACAAGGGCGTAGGGGGCTTGATGAACATGGGATGCAGGAAAGGTCCACTGGGGACGGGTGCGAGGGGTTGTGTTGCAAGCCGTGATATGTGGAGCACGTTTTAGAGGACAATTTATATGAATAATAGTAAATGTTATGACTTAAGAATATTCCAACATTTAACAAAATGAGTTTAAACCAAACCAAAGTACTCTTCTTTCCACACTGTAAAAAGGAAATTTTACATACACTTTCAAGAAGTCCTAACCATAGCCCATAGATCTGCTTTAAAAATATAATCAGGGGCACCTGGTTGGCTCAGTCAGTTGGGGGCCTGCCTTCAGCTCAGGTCATGATCCCAGGGTCCTGGGATCCAGTCCCATGTCAGGCTCCCTGTTCAGCGGGTAGCCTGCTTCTCCCTCTCTCTCTGCCTGCTGCTCCCCCGGCTTGTGCACTCTCGCTCTAACAAATAAATAAAATATTTAAAATATATATAATCAGCTGTCCTTTCTCTAGTTCTGAGCTCTCATATTCCTGGGGTTGGTGGTTTAAGAGGTATGTAACTTCATATAGGGAAAGGGATAGGAATTTTGTACATTGGGCTTTACCTCTTGAAGGTCTAGTACCTTCTAAATGGACAGGGCATTTCCTGCTCTGCGGGATCCTGTGGGAGAAACCCCGCTATTGAACTCTCTGCACCGAAGACAGCTGGGATTCATGGACAGAAGCCATGGGCCAAGGCCCTAGAGGACGGTGAGGACCCCCAGTTTCATCGGGCATTTGGCTTCTTGTGCAGACACGACACGGCCGCCCAAGAAGAACGAGGAAGATGGGAAGGAATACCACTTCATCTCAGCCGAAGAGATGGCCAGGAGCATCTCTGCCAACGCGTTCCTGGAGTTCGGCAGCTACCAAGGCAACATGTTTGGCACCAAATTTGAAACCGTGCACCAGATTCATGATCAGGACAAGATCGCCATCCTTGACATCGAGCCCCAGGTGAGGAGGCCTGGCGAGGCGGGCACGGATGAGGTTTGGTGCACGTGGTTTTGGTGGAATTCTCTAAAACCAGAACAGTTGTACCGGGAAGGATGGAAATAGCGCTGGGCTTGGTGATGCTCAGAGTTAGGTATCAGAAGGAAGTCATCAGGGTGGCTAACTCTGGCCCTTCCTCTTTTTCTAGACCCTGAAGATTGTCCGCACGGCGGAACTGTCACCGTTCATTGTGTTCATTGCGCCTACTGACCAGGGCGCTCAGGTGGGAAGCCGGGGTTTCGCAGGGTGGGTGGAGGTTCATTCTCCAGGTTCGCCAGGACTGTGACATCAGTCCAGAGCTCAGCCTGTGACCAGACCTCCCCTGAGCCTCCTGGCTATTGCTGCCCTTCTTCCTGCAAGACCAGGAAGCCAAAGGGCATGGGGCACATTTGCTTTACTTGGCAGACACTTCCTAAACTGCTCGGTGGGCCAGCATCCGTGCCAGCTCACAGACGGAGTAAATCAGGAACAGTCCGAGGTCCACAGGTGCTGGGGGTCCAGGGGCAGAAATGGGCACTTTGGCAGATCCTGACGCTGGTGCAATGTGGGCTTCAGTGGGAAGAACAGAGATGGCACTGAAGCCACCACACCACCAGGGCTGTAGCGTGGCTATGGGGAGAGAGGAAGAGCCAGGAGGCCCGAGATCTACTGAGAGGGCAGCCCCTACTCAGCACGCCTCGGAGTTCCTGTCCCCGCTGCCGCCAAACACAGCGGAGCGCTCTGTATCCGCATGGTTGAGCCGTTTCAGCCTTTGTAGCCACGTGGCATCCCCTGTGCACATATGGCAGGACCGTTCCGTGTCACCGGTCCCGCCCAGCCATCCTAGATACTGTTGTACTCGGTGGCTGGTGTGTGTGGCAGGGTTGCCAGGTGCTTGCGATGGGGACTGAGAGCTCGCTGGGAGGGTGCTTATTCCTCTGTGCGGGAGCGTGTTTGACTGGTCTGCTGGGGAAACGGAGCCTCACTACTTTCTTCTGTCACCGCTAAGGGCTTGCGTGTCCTCCCGACTGTTGAGGGCCGTTTGTATCTCTCCTGCCAACTGCCTGGTCCTGTCCTTAGCTCGTTTTGCTCTTGGCTCATTAGCCTTTCTCCCACCGCTTTCCAGGAACTTGGATTCGGCTCAGTCGCCCTCCATCATGGGCATAACCATTGCTCCCCGTTCGACGCGGCTTGGGGCGCTTCTTGCGATATAGATGTTTTTATGGAGTTACGTCTTTCTGTGGCCACTCATTTAGGGTTCTAGAAAGAGGGCTGGGGTCATAAGTCACCCTGGCCTTGTTCCAGGATGGCCGCCGCGGTGGCAGCAGCAATGGCGAGACGCTGCTCGAGTCCCTGCCGGGCTCCGGTCCGGCCTCGTTCGAGAGCCCGTATGGACTGCGGTGTTCTTGTCTCTCCGGCCCGCTGGTAGCTACTCTCAGCGGAGGCCTCCGGGGCTGGAGTTGTGAGGCCAGGGACTCCGAGCCAGGCAGGGGTCCCCACAAGTGACGTCTCTCACAGCCCGTCCGCAGCCTGTGGGGCCACCGTGCCGGGGGCCCGCTCCAGCCCCACGTGTCGTGTCTTTGCAGACGGAAGCGCTGCAGCAGCTGCAGAAGGACTCGGAAGCCATCCGTGGCCGGTACGCGCACTACTTCGACCTTTCGCTGGTCAACAACGGCGTTGACGAGACCCTCAAGAAACTGCAAGAAGCCTTTGACCAGGCGTGCACGTCTCCGCAGTGGGTGCCCGTCTCCTGGGTTTACTAAGCTCGTGGGAAAGGAGTACCTGCTCCATGCCCTTCCCTAGCGGTCTGCTCCGCTCTCCTTGCTTTGTCCGCTCCCAGCGCTCTGCAGTTGTCCTACCTAGGCCAGCGGGGGTCAGTCTTGCTCAAGTTTCTTGGCTGGGCTCTGAGTTTCCTGAGAGACGGAGCCCCATTGACCGGGCTTCCAGAAGGATCTCTGGGAATCTGAAGCCCATAGTACTATCAAAATGCAACTGCTAATCAGAGAGGAAAGGGCGATGGCCTCTGCTCCTCCACCTCCACTTACACTGGGCCTCTCCCGCGTCTCAGCATCTGTAACCTCGACTTTCTAACATGCCAAACCGAAGCGGCTGTGCAGTAGGATGTCTGCTCTAGGGAAACCCTCAAAAGCAATAAAAACGTTGCTGTGTTAAAATGCCAAGACTTTGTCAATCTCTGGGTCCCTGGAGAGGGAAAGGGCACCACCTGGGAGCCCCCCAGGACGCTATCCACACCAGTTGCCTCTCCTGGGTTTGTAAGTCACCCTGAAGCACACAGAGGTCCAGGCACCCCGAGCTCCCGTGAGGGCACGTGCAGGGCACGGCGCCATGTGGTGCTGCATGTGGACCGGAGCACAGACGTGTGACCTGTCACACAAGGTGGCCGGCAAAGGTGTGATCAGCCCATTCTTCTCCTGGCAGCCATTCCTTAGTTTTCTCTTCATTCTCCAGACATGGTTTCCAGAGCAGCCCCATGGCCGGCTGCCCAAATCAATCTGTACACAAGTGGAAATGGCTCCATCTCACCGCTCACCCAGCAGCTGAGACACAAACCTGTGCCCTCCTGACGCTGGTGCCCAGACTTTGATCTGCCACTGGCTTTCATCCTAACCTTTCTGGTGAGGGAAACCCAGCCTCGGGTCTAGGCTCGGAATACCTCCCCACACACACTGGCACCTCCCGCCAGGCCCGCGACATAAATACTCCTAGCACCTTCCCTGCGACTGTTTGGGGAGATGACTGGAATGGGGGTGATGCCCCTTTTTATCTATTATCTAGCCAGTGTCCTGAACAAAGATTCCAGAGTATTCGGTCCCATGCCAGATAAAAGGCCTCAGGATCAATGTTGTGAGATACAGAACCAGAGAAAGTAACCAAAGGAAAAGCATCAAATTTCAAATAGAACAAAGTTCCCTAGATTTTTAATCAAAATATATATTTTTGTTCTACTAGTTTGACATCCCCAACAATTAGAAAACCCAACAGAAATACTTAAAAACAAGTAAACTTTAATAAGTAAAAAGTACAATCTTCTCCTAGCAATGAGTGACTGCATCCTTTGAAAGTAAAGGAGTTAGAGGAGGAAACACGGATGGTTCTTTTGCTTCCGTCACGAACACAAGCAGGCCGACGGGGGCAGGTGCGTGAAGCCGGACCCCCAGGCTCCAGAGGAGCACACGCGGGACCGCTAAGCCAGAGATGGCCCGCGTGTGGCTAGAACAGACCGCTGTCCTCACAGGACACGGGGGAAAAGGCTTCTCCCTCCAGCGAACAATGTGGTTCGGGTCTATTCCTCTACGTGCTGAGCAACGTTTAGAAACTTTTAAAAAATGGGTTGGGGGATGGTGCAAAGCAGGAGAGCGCTATCATGTTCAAGGAGCCATCGACAGCAGCTGCCAGATCTGAAGGAGTCAATCCCCAACTCTCCAAAGCAGGGAAAGGGGTGCTATCAAAGCTGCTTCCTTCACCCGCGTCCTTAAAACAGGAAAGGATGGGGCAAGCACACCAGGCGACATCACCCGAGTTCTCGGGGAGCAGCTAAAATGTGCCGGAACGCTCCACCCATCCTGGGGCCTGTGGCGCATTCCCTCAAGAACGAAAGGAATTCTGTTTTCCCAGTAAGGCTTTAATTCCTCCTCCCAGCTGGCCCCGCGCTCCAGTGCCGTCTGCTACTCAGAAACCGCTTCTGCTTTGATCTTCTTTTTCTTCTTCTTCTTCTTGGTACCATCACTGTCCTGGGAAAAAGAGAAAGCCTCACAGCACCTGTTAACAAGCAAACCAGGGACATCCCAAAAGCCCAATAAGCCTTTGCAGGATGAGGGAGGACATTCCAGAGAAAACCAGTTTTGCACAGAACACCAGGTCCTGAGCTCCCCAGTGACACCGCAGCGGGCTCTTACACACTCGCCCTCATCACCAGCAACACCGCAAGCGCGCACGGTTACTACAAAATGGTGGCACCAAGGGCACGGGTACTGTCGCTGACAGGAGGCTGCTACTCCCTTCCGCCCTGAGTGTCCTGACCGGGTATGGACGTACCCCGTCTCCCGTATCGCCCACACTCTCTAGAGCAGCTTTGGCCTTTTTGTCCTTCTTCTTCTTCTTTTCCTTCTTGACCAGCTGTGGGGAGGTCTCGTCGCTTTCACTCTCTCGTTTCCGCTAAGGTGGACACAAGCGATCAAACGTCAGATTTGGGGCAAAAATGGATGAGAAACGTTCAATAAGAAGGCAGAGATCACCAAAACAGCCCCTGACTACAGGAGGAAGCTTTCTAATGACAAACCCCAAGAGAACCGTAACTTAGAGAATTCAAGCACGGCCTCACCCCCCGAGACCGGAAGCCAGGGCCACAGCAGGAGCCTGGGAAGTTGGCCCGCACGCCTGCGAAGGAGCACAGACAGGCCCCACACACGCCGGGAGCGCTTCCCAGACAGCTCGTTCCGGGCCCCTTGGCGCACCCATTCTGTGCTCTGATGTCAGGGGTGCCCCCCGGACCCTGAGAAGCTGAGGTGGTAGCACGTACTTCCCTTGACCTTCTCTAAGGCTGTGCTAATGTGATCTAGGGCGGTCAGCCTCAGGCGAATCCGCCCCAAGGAGGGGCCAGAATAACGCGTTCCTCCACCAAGAGCCAGTGGCGCCGCCTCCGTAAGCTGGGAGCTGAGGCCAGTCTGATTTCTGAGTCCCCCACGCCCCCAGCAGACACAACAGGGAACAGGAACCGGAGCCCACACAGTCCAGAGGAGTACACCAAAGTCGCACAGTGGCTGGGGCGGCCTTGACGCGCTAAGCCATGACCCAAGACGCGAGCGCCGCCGCTGAGACAAGCCAACACGATCGTGTCCCAGAGCACACTCGCTACTGCTCCTTACTTTACTCCTTACCTTTGGGGTTTTTACTGCTTCAGCAACTACTCTGGGGGCTTTTACTACTTCGGCAACTTCCTGTGGGTCTTTTACTCCCTTGGCCCCCACCTCTCTCTTCGCGGAGTCACTGAAAGACAGGCACCAAGCGGTGAGATGTGCTGAGCGGCCTCTGGGGAGGTCCTGCTGCGTCCCCAACCGGTGATATCCGGCAAGTCTGAAGCCACCATCAAAATACTGACGACAGACAGAAGAACTCACCACTTACTGTTGCAGACTGACTCCCTCTAGAGTCCCACAAGCCAGACTAGAAAGGGATAACTGTCTGCTGGGCAGGCCCGAGCCCCTACCTGGCCCGGGTGGTCGAGAGGAAGTCCCTCCAGCCCCCGAGGCCTCGTCAGCAGCACGTTGTCGCAGCACTCCCCACACCTGGGCTCCCTGACCTCCTGTCCCGGCTCCCCTAGGCAAGCACCGAGCTGCACTGCGCCCACCCCTCAGGGCCCTGCAGCCTCCCCTGCTTCCCTGGAGCAGACGTACTACCACATCCAGGGGGGCAAGCGCGCTGTCTCTGCCTATCCGGGGCTCCGAAGCGCCCTGCCCTCACCTGTAGTCCACATACTCCTGTGTCCAGGTGGCAGGCGTGCTGTCTGTGGGCTTGCCGTGCTTATCCAGAAGACCCTGCTTGATCATCAGCTTCTTCTGACTTGCCTGGTGGACCGTCAGGGTTTCAAGGTCAGAACGGTGGGACACATGAAGCAGGTACTACGGCGGCTTGGTGAAGGCCCCTCCCTTTGGCCTCACACTTCTCTGCAAAGCACTCTGAACTCACTCTCTTCAACAGGAGCGAACATGGGACTTGTCAAAAGTCACAAAGCCTACTTTTATCAGTGACCGCCTCCGAAACGTCCTTCGGTGGCACCTGCCTCCAGCCCATTCTCCCACCATAGGGCCTTTGCAGCATATGCTCTTCCGGCTTCCCCAGACCCTCCCACCCTTCTTCACCAACAGATGTCCTTTATGCTGGCTGGCATGGCTGGCAAAGATCCCTTACCCAGACCCCCCAACCAAGTCGAGCCCCTCATTCTGCACTCCCGAGGAGCCAGGCACCTCCCGGTGCCAGTCAGCCTGCAGCATGACTTTGGTCGTGCAGTACGAGCGACAGCCATCCATTTCCCCCATTAGACTGACACCTCTAAGGTCTGAGATAGTCCCACAGCTACCCACCAGCACTCCCCAGAGCCCAGTACAAGGCAAGTTGTGGTGGCAGGGACACAGCCAAGGGCTGCCCACGTGAGTATTCAACAACGCAAAACTGCAGAGTTACTCACAGCAGGGCGCACACCCAGTCCCACTTACCTTTGGACCTAAACCCCACTTCCGAGGGTAAGTGTCTCTCTCCATGATGACTCTCTTGATCTTGGCTACAATACCATGGTCACAGGTAGAGATCACTGCTGTGGTCATCAATGCAACAGCTACAGGTGTTGGAATGAGATTAAAGAATGACTTGGAAGGGAGAAAACTTCCTATACTCTGAGCCCTAATTCCACTGTTTTATATAAATTTTAAAACCCCATTTTTGGGGCACCTGGATGGCTCAGTCGGTTAAGTATCCAACTCCTGATTTCAGCTCAAGTTATGATCTCAAGGTCGTGAGATCAAGCCCTGTGTCGAGCTCCACAGTCAGTGTGGAGCCTGCTCAAGATTTTCTCCCCCTCTGCCCCTCCCTCTGCTTGTATGTGTGTTTGCACAATCGCTCTCAAAATAAGATCTTAAAAAACAAAAAACAAAACAAAAACAAACAAAAAAACCCCAAACGTTTAAAGGGCACCTGGGTGGCTCAGTCGGTTAAGCGTCTGCCTTCACCTCAGGTCATGATCCTGGAGTCCCGGGATCGAGCCCCGCATCGGGCTCCCTGCTCAGCGGAGAGTCTGCTTCTCCCTCTGCCCCTCACCCCGCTTGGGCTCTCTCTTTTTCAAATAAATAAATAAAATCTTAACAAAGAAAAAAACATTTAAAACTCGAAACTCTACTGCTTGAGGTTTCCTTTGCTGAGGATGTTCATATGGAGAAATTCCACCTCTATGGGAAAAAAGCTCTGAAACCACATTAAAATTGTCAGTTAAAAAAAAATATTTACACTAACCACATAAAAATCAACGGTTTCCTAGATCCTCAGGAGACCTCTTAATAAGGAAATCAGAGCTATCCATTTACCGTGCCTACTTTGCACTAGAAAGAAAGCACACCATGAGAGTCAGAGGAGGGGGCGCCTCCAGTAACCCTAAAGATACAC